AGCCGCGGTGTTCAAAATAGAAATGCCTCTATAATTATTTATTTCTGTACGTGATCCCTTCTTGTGTACAGGGATTATGTGTGCACACTTCCATTGATGTGGAAATATCCCTTCACGTAGAGAACGATTAAATATAATAGTCAAGGGGAGAGCAAGTGATTTAGCGCATCGTGACCAAAAAAAAGAAGGTAACCCATCACTACCGGCACCTTTGTTCGTGTCCAAAGTTTTCAACATTTTTTCAATTATTGCAGCGTTTGTCTGTACATTAGAAACGGTGTCAGTACACAACGATTCCGTATGTGGATGTATGTAGTTATTACTAGGAATACCAAATACACTCTTGAAGAATGAGTTGAAAGCATTGCATATGTCTATACCATCGGTGTACTCTATATCTTTCAAAGACATTTTCTTAGGGTAACCTGACCCACCCCGAATGGCTTTGACGAAAGTCCAGAATGTTTTAGGATGTGTTTTGATGCTATTTTCACAACTTTACGTAAATTTATTAAAGCATTCTCTCTGAACACGGTGTTCTCTTGCTCGGAGTAACGAAAACTCATCGTAATCTAATCTATTCCTGAATTTTTTCCAACGTGTGTGAGCATTGTTTTTCTCCTTAATTATTTTTATTAAAGCAGGTGTGTACCATTTAGGATATGATCGCTTCCCTGTGTTATAACTAAAAGGCACATGTAAACGAACACAACTATCCAGTATGTTATAAAAGGTATTTGTAGCTTCGTCTACAGTGCCTGTACATAAAAGAGACCTCCAGTCCTGTTCTAAAAGATATGTATTAATTTTTTCATAATCAGCCCTCCTGAAATTTCGCCTTGGCGCAGCTGTTTCCCGTAGAGGAGTAATGTTTAAATCCAAAACTATGAAGCAAAAAGAAGGATGTGCGTGGTCCTCCCTGAGTAGCGGCGCAGCCGCAGGGATGATATTCAGAGGTAGATTAGAGAATGCAAGATCTAATGTGTTACCAGCATGATTTTTTAAAGTATTAAATTGTCTTAACCCGTGAAATGTTAGTGTTTCCATCAGCTGGATACTCGCTTCTTGTACCTCAGTAGGCCCTTTTTTCAAAGCTGTATATCCGTTTGGGTTCCAAGAAATGAACGGCAAGTTGAAATCTCCTAATATTACAAAATTATCATTTGGAGAAAGCTCGATAATACTATTAATTTTTTGTTTAATAAAAACGAGATCCGATGGCATTTGATGAGGGTCAGGGGCAATATATGCCACACAAATATGTAAGTTGGAATTTGAAGCGCACGCGCTTGAAGGAATAGTAATCCACAATAGCTCAGTAAGACCGCATACGCCGAGGTCACGATACATGGCACCGAGTGTACGTCGTGTCAGTATTAATACTCCACCACCAGTACTTTTACCACTATTACGCAAATCTCTGTCAGCCCTGAACACGTCATACCTATCGTCGCACAACTCACCATCAAAAATTCCACTGTGTAGCCATGATTCTGTCATAATTATAATGTCGTAATCGTTCGTCAAAATATTTAGTCGTAATTCAAGACATTTAGTCCTAAGACCACGAACATTCTGATAATAACAGTACAAATTATTTACAGCCATTAATCAAAATCAAATATGTACCCAATTGTGTTAAATTTATAGTACTTTAAAGCTACACAGAGTAACAGAACTAATAATTTGTTTACGTTAGACTTAAGTAGTACGAACAATGATATATCACTTCGGCAGTTGCTAGTTAATAGTGACTTGATTTTTTGTATAAGGTGGTAGAGTATAAAAGAGCAATGGCAGAAAAATAGTTGACAAAAATTATAGCGTCTAGAAATAAGTTATATATAAAATGAGTTTTATTATTTTTCTATGATTTTTCAAATAAAAATGTATTTTAATTAAAGCCACAGAAAAAAATAAACATTTTTGGGAATATCAAATGACTTAAATCATTTTACTCTATTCAAATGTTGCCATTTAGTATATTTATACTATTTTCGTATACACTTTGTAAGACTACCAACACAACACACAAAATATTTTTATATTAAGTTATTATTAGTAATAACTGTACTATCAGTAATAATAAAAATAAAAGTGATATGGCTGAGAATAAGTCACTTACAAAGAATTTCCTACAATAATACATTATCTCAATCATAGTACTATGTAACAATTCCATTTAATGTTATGCCAACACTAGCTAAAATAAAATGTCACTGGCTTTACGGCTCTGGGTTCTAGCCCTTCTGAGAATGTCACTATGATACAAAAGACCTGTAGCCATGCCAGAAATATACATTTATAGTATGCAAATATATAATAGAGATACAATAATCTAAAAACTCTCAATTATGTATTATGTATTTAGCTAATATCAAACATCCACAGGAAGCATGACTTCTTCCAAGTGACATAGGACATAACCTAAAAAGTTCAAATGTAAATATCTTTTTTTTGACGCCTTCTCAGTACAAAATTCTTTGACAGATTTATTAAGGGACTGAGGCTTAACATTTTAAGATATTTTTGGTATATAGACGCTACCATTTCTTCTCAACTAATTTTATGTATGAAAGTCTGCCATTGTTCTTTATCAATAAGATATAACAGAATGAATCCTTAAACGATTTGATTAATATAGTCGAGTCAACATAAAAGGGTGCGAGCTTATAAATATGCAGAGCAGTTATTAAATATATATATAAATATCGCGAATGTAACAATATGGACGTTTTAAGTATTGTTGTTAGATTTAATAAATAAATATTGAACGGGTAATTATTATGAATAATAACAATATAATAGATGAATTCATAGATTGACAAAGAAAAATAAATTAATACATAATATACAAGACGCCAGAAAAAATATAATTGGTATTTTATTAAATATAAAGGATATAGTAAAAGAAACCATAACATATATATAGTTGAGTAACGTTCGTGAAGAATATGGATGCAACTTAGCTGCACAATTATCGCGCGTGTGACTAATACACTTAAGACCAAAAATATTTCATTAATTGAGCTCTCTTTACGTGCGGTCAAACAATGATATATAATATAGACAAAATGAGATAAGAGAGACCAATGAATTGCTTTTACAACGATGGAATTGATAAATTTAAGCAATATAACGTACTTGAAAAGAGAACAAAACAATATACAATGTAAGATTAAATTAATTTTAAAACGTCTCTTTCCTGTGATATATGCAAAGCCGGAGATGTGTCGTTCTTCCTGACGTAGATCCTCCCGTTTTTTGTCCACACTTATTGATACTGCTTAAGTTTCGCCGTCTCCCTACATTTCTTTAGTAGAAGTTTATTGCACTGTGTAAGATGCTCATTGACATATACGGGACGAACGCTGCCATGTATGGCAAGGTCTTTGGTGGTCAGTCGGTTTTTTCGAGTGCCAGAGATTATGTTGTTCTTTAGAAGACGGGATTTAAGCTTTGCAATTATATTTTTCGGGCGGCCCTGTTGTTTGATTTTCGGTGTGACACGATTAACTTCTAATATATCATTAGGGGAAATAGTTACATTAGACTGCTTAGCAATGGATATAATTAAATTGGTTAAGTCTTCATCCTTGATTTCAGGAACGCCGACGATCTCTAAGTTCAAAAGGCGATCTCTTTGATTATTTGTGTTAATTTCCAATTGTAATAGTCTGTTTTCGTTAGTCAATAAGTCCATTTTAGATTCTAGTGATTCGATTGCTTTTTTGTTAACAGATAATAATTCCATTTTCTTTTGAACATGGTCATATTGGTCGCAATTGAATTGTACAGAGTTTTCTAAAACTGTGATTTGCTTCATTGTCTCGTTGTACTTTAGGTCAAGAGATATGACCGACTTTTTAATCTCGTGATATTCCTGACGGACGCTGCTTAGTTCCGACATGATCTCAGCAAAGGATGCATTTAGTTTCTCAAGATCGGTTTTAATACGAAGTCTAAATTATTTTTAATTCCTGATATTTCATCTTGAATTTCCTTTTTCCAGTCATGTAAAGTTCTACGTATCTCTGAGGTAAAATTATTGAGAGCCTCTGAGAAGTCGTTGTCGTGTTTATGCTTACGAGTAGTCATATTGCTAGGCTTACCTGATTTATTGATGTCAGGGTTGGAATTGTAAGGCTTGCGTGGCGTGGAATCTTTCCTTATATGAGATAATACACAATCTGCCACTTTCTGATTTGGTTCGGCAAACATCAAAATCCGGCGGTGTTCACGAAAATGTCCGTTTTACACTCCTAAAATTTTTTCGTGAAATTTGTGCTTATAGAAATTTACACCACTGTATAAAGCATCCTTTTTCGCATCAAATGTATAATTATATATAAAATAATATTATAATAAATAGTTATTTTAAACAAAATATTTCAAAATATGGACAATTGTCACCTGTCACTTTTCTTCTTTTTTGTAGTGAAATCTATTAAACTTTAACTTAATTTTACATGTATTGTAGTTTATTAAAAAAAAACATGTTTCGGTTTTAATTTTTATATCGATAGCTAATCGATAATTTTTGCTTTGCTTTGTGTATCGTTAATCGCCTTTCTTAAATCGATTTAACATTTTTCCATCTCTAGATACGCCAAACTGTAAGCTGTCACCCGCACGATGCTATAACGCAAAGACTATAATTTCTAAGTCGTATCATGCAGAGAAATCCAGATCATAGCCGTCTTCATAGCTCGCTGAGCGACCTTAAACTTCCTCATAGCTGTGAAGGACCAAGCCTCAGATCCATATGTTATCACTGGCAACATGCACTCTTGGTATAATCTCGTTTTCATGTTTTGAGGTATACCTTACGAGAAGATGTCGTAATCTCCCGAACGCTCCCCCCTGAGTTGAATCCGTCGATTGCCCTCTCCATCGATGTTGGATTTACCTAGTCGGACTATTTGGCCTAGGTAAACATACTCGGCTATAGTTATAGCCAATGAAAATATAATCTAAATCTTTATGTTTTTGAATTTTAGGCTGCTTGCTGGCCAGAACCTCAAGAATGGTCACTTCCGTGGTTGGCGATAGATTTGCTTGATTCAGGTGCAGAAAATCAGTTTTTCACTTTGGAAATACCGCCACAGGTAAGACGTTTACTTTTTTGAATATTATGCCCTATTGAATAAAACTATTTCTTTTTACGGATTTTATCGCGTTTAATTAAGTTATTTTATATTCCCGACGTTTCGGTTGCTTTCCAGCAACCGTGGTCACGGGGGACTGAGGTGATTGACGTCCCGATGTCAAAGTTAACCCGGAGTACCTTTAGCTTTTTAATTATTAATTTTGGTCCGATCTACGCAGAATGAACTAACTGTGTCTTGAAGTCTTGCAGTGGTATGCTTGGGTTTAGTTTTAATTTTATGAATTACAGGATCTCAAGCAGGTGGTAGTACCCAGCCTCCCTCTCTATTGAAATTAGGATGTTTTTTAATTTCAATAGCCTCACGTATCATCCTTGGCAGTAATCGATATTCTTTCGCGAGAACTTGTGGTTTATCAAATCTAATGTAATGGCGGGAGCCGTCTAGGATATGATCACAAACTGCAGACTTCCCGGAACGTTGGTGCTTCACGTCAGCTATGTGTTCTTTTACGCGGGTTTTTATTGATCGTTTTGTTTGCCCTATATATGAGAGACCACACTCACAATCAAGCTTGTATACTCCTGCATCTTGTAGAGGAATATTGCACTTGACGGATGGTAAGAACTGACTAATCTTCTTCGGCGGCTTGAAGAATGTTCTAATAGAAGCTCGCTTCAAGATGTAGCCAATCTTGTCTGTGACACCTCTGACATATGGTAGTACAGCAGGCACACGCTCGACTGTGGCCGGCTTCACTCGGTCACTGTGACGTAGGCGCGGAACCCGAAGCTTGTTGTCGTGCAGAACCTGCTTGACGTGCTGAAGCTCGGCGGCCAGGTGTTTGCTGTCACAGATCCCTCGTGCTCTCTGCAACAAAGATTTGCCCACGGTAGCTAACTGTGAAGGGTGATGGTGGGATTCACCGTTTAAGTATCGGTTTGTATGGGTCTTTTTTCTATACACAGTGTGACCTACGGTGTTATTAGGATTTCGAATGACTAACACATCTAGGAAAGCTAAAGAATTATTTGCCTCTAACTCCATAGTAAATTGAATTTTAGAGTTTATGGAATTAAGATGTTCTAAAAATGCAGTTACTTTGTCTGATGGTACAATTGTGAAAGTATCGTCTACGTACCGCTTGTAGAAACTTGGAGTTATTGGTGCAGTAAGCAGGGCTTTCTCCTCAAAGTCCTCCATGAAAATATCGGCGACAATGGGAGATACCTTTGAGCCCATCGCGACACCATCTACTTGCTTGTAAAACTGTTCCTTCCACAATAGATAACCAGATGTAAGGCAATGTCTGAGTAATACTGCATATTCTGTTGGCATGTTGTTTTCCTCTAGTTTCCTAGTTACAATTGAGATGCAGTCTTCAACAGGTAGGCATGTAAATAGAGACTGAACATCAAAACTGACCATAGTTTCATTGTCAGTAAGACATAGGTCTTTTATCTCACTGACAAAATGGTATGAATCCTTAGTGTGTGCTCTTGTATGTCCTCTGAGTGGTGATAGTACTTTTGCTAAGTGTTGAGCCAATCTGTAAGTTGCCGAATCGATCTGACTCACTATTGGACGTAATCGAGCGTTCGGTTTGTGTATTTTTGGTAACCCATACAATTTCGGCGGTTTGGCACACGCAGGTATTATCAAATTAACGTCTAGATTCAGTTTCTCGGAGTATTTCTTTATTAGATCGCTAGTTGTTTTAAGCGTATTAGTTGTAGGGTCTGTTTTGACCTTTACGTACGTACTTTCATCCGATAAAAGTTGTTGTATTTTAAAATTGTAATCCGACGTATCCATTTAACCGTAGCATTACCTTTATCTGCGCGGAGAATCGTAAGATCTGGTCTGTTGCGTAAGTTTTTCAATGCAGTAAATTCATCTTTGGGAAGATTTAATTTCGGCGTTGAGCTTCGACGTAAGAAGGACGAAATGTCTTGACGAATAGCCTCTAAATCTTCATTACCAATATTATTTTTATACAGATAGTCCTCAACACTACAGATAATGTTTTCATACGGAATTTTTTGCGGTGTTATAGCGAAATTCATACCTTTGGCCAAAACTTTTATTGTCATATTGACAAAAAAAGTTTTGGCCAAAGGTTACAGATTGGCTCAACACTTAGCAAAAGTACTATCACCACTCAGAGGACATACGAGAGCACACACTAAGGATTCATACCATTTTGTCAGTGAGATAAAAGACCTATGTCTTACTGACAATGAAACTATGGTCAGTTTTGATGTTCAGTCTCTATTTACATGCCTACCTGTTGAAGACTGCATCTCAATTGTAACTAGGAAACTAGAGGAAAACAACATGCCAACAGAATATGCAGTATTACTCAGACATTGCCTTACATCTGGTTATCTATTGTGGAAGGAACAGTTTTACAAGCAAGTAGATGGTGTCGCGATGGGCTCACCGGTATCTCCCATTGTCGCCGATATTTTCATGGAGGACTTTGAGGAGAAAGCCCTGCTTACTACACCAGTAACTCCAAGTTTCTACAAGCGGTACGTAGACGATACTTTCACAATTTTACCATCAGACAAAGTAACTGCATTTTTAGAATATCTTAATTCCATAAACTTTAAAATTCAATTTACTATAGAGTTAGAGGCAAATAATTCTTTAGCTTTCCTAGATGTGTTAGTCATTCGAAATCCTAATAACACCGTAGGTCACACTGTGTATAGAAAAAAGACCCATACAAACCGATACTTAAACGGTGAATCCCACCATCACCCTTCACAGTTAGCTACCGTGGGCAAATCTTTGTTGCAGAGAGCACGAGGGATCTGTGACAGCAAACACCTGGCCGCCGAGCTTCAGCACGTCAAGCAGGTTCTGCACGACAACAAGCTTCGGGTTCCGCGCCTACGTCACAGTGACCGAGTGAAGCCGGCCACAGTCGAGCGTGTGCTTGCTGTACTACCATATGTCAGAGGTGTCACAGACAAGATTGGCTACATCTTGAAGCGAGCTTCTATTAGAACATTCTTCAAGCCGCCGAAGAAGATTAGTTAGTTCTTACCATCCGTCAAGTGCAATATTCCTCTACAAGATGCAGGAGTATACAAGCTTGATTGTGAGTGTGGTCTCTCATATATAGGGCAAACAAAACGATCAATAAAAACCCGCGTAAAAGAACACATAGCTGACGTGAAGCACCAACGTTCCGGGAAGTCTGCAGTTTGTGATCATATCCTAGACGGCTCCCGCCATTACATTAGATTTGATAAACCACAAGTTTAATGATAAGGATATGAGAGAGAAGATGAAAGAAAGATATAGGCTGCAGAAAGTTCACACGAAAGCACTGATTTAGGAAGTGCGTGAAAGGTGTAGAATGGAAGCGGACAAAAGGTTGTCGCACAACTTTAAGGAGAACTCCAAACTCTTCTGGAAAGAGGTTGGAAGGACCCGAAGTGGTGCGACGGCCTTAAGAATGAACAAAGTGCTTTCGAGAACTAATGACGTCCTCTCAGAAAAATCGGACGTCATGCAGCGATGGAGCGAATTTTATAGAGAAATGTATGCGTGTGATGATCTTAGTGAGGGATCCGGGGATGACGCCGTGACTGGTACGCCAGACCCGGACCTCGATGACACTGAGGTCATCAGGATGAAAGAGATTGAACGTGCGATTCGAAGTTTGAAATGTGGTAAGGCTGCGGGACTAGACAGAGTTACTGCTGAAATGGTCAAGTATGGTGGGCCTCGCGTCTGGGACAGCTTTCATCTGCTGTGCAATTTATGCTGGCGGACGGGGGATGTCCCGGATGATTGGCGATCCGCAGTCATTGTGCCTTTATATAAAGGTAAAGGTTCACATTTTGACTGCGGGTGCTATCGGGCGATCAGCTTGACCAGTTTAGCAAGTAAAGTTTACTCGAAGGTTTTGACACGTAGGATGCAAGAGAAATCGGAAAGATTTCTATGGGAGGCACAATGCGGATTTAGACCTGGAAGAGGATGCACGGATCAAATGTTTTCTCTCCGCATGATCACGGAGAAGCTTCTGGCTGCTAACCAGAAGATTTTCTGTGCTTTTGTGGATCTTGAGAAAGCATTTGATAAGGTTGTAAGGAAGAAAATGTGGGAACTGTTGCCGGGGTATGGTGTGGATGGTCGATTGCTAAGGGCTGTGCAGTCTCTTTACTGTGACTGTAAAGCCTGTGTGCGGGTAGGACATGACCTGTCACCCATGTTTAACGTCCAAACGGGCGTAAAGCAGGGTTGTGTCATGTCTTCCTGGCTGTTCATACTGTATCTCGACAGCTGTTTACAGAAGCTGAAAGATAGTTGTTTGGGTGTGAAATTGGGTGACATTAAAGTAAATTGTCTGCTGTATGCTGATGATGCAGTGCTTATTGCACCATCAGAGGCAGAACTGCAGGCATTAGTCACGTGTATGAAAGAGGAATGTGAAATTAAAGGTCTCCGTCTGAATGCTAATAAAACTAAGGTTCTGGTATTTGAAAGGGACGAAGAGAGAACGAAGTGTGAAATATGGGTAAATCAGGAATGTCTAGAACAGGTAAATGAAATTGTATACTTGGGGAGTGCTTTTAGCCGGGATGGAAGATGTGATTTAGATGTGGACAGGCGTGTCGCTGCCGGGAACAAAGTCAATGGTGCCCTGACTGCGTTAGTCAAAAGGCAAGGCGTAGCGAAGAGTGCCCGCCTTGCAATACATAACGCAGTGTTGGTACCGACTTTGTTAAATGGCGGCGAAACCTGGGTATGCCAGAAGAAGCATAAAAGTAAGTTGAATGCAGTGGAGATGCGATCTCTTCGTAAAATGTGCGGCGTTACCATGGCCGACCGAAAGCGAAACGAAGAGATTCGCAATATGGCAGGTTTGAAAGATGACCTTATCACAAAAATTGATAAGGGCGTGCTTCGGTGGTTTGGGCACGTTGAGCGAATGAGTGAAGACCGAATGGTGAAGAAAATATATAGCGCGAAAGTTAATA